ATGGATAGTGGTGGGGGAAATTTAATAATTGAAATTGCTACGATAATTTATCGTTAATATAAATAATAATAATTGGAAATAATTGTAATGCCAAACATATCGAGGTTACACGAAAGGCGGATCAATTATAATACGAATAAATGTTATTTAATAAGTAATTATTTAAAGTAACTTTATTCGAGATTTTCAACTAATTTATTTTTAATTTTTTCAGCAGGTTAATACCCAACTTTGATCGTGGATGATGCAAAATAGATTAGGTTAGGTTTGCAGTATTTGATTTTAATTCAGAGAAAAGTAGCACGCTCGGTAAGGTAGTTTATGTTTAATCAATTTGAAAAGAAGGCTGATACGTGGATCGTGAACAGTGATGGGGAAAATTTAATAATTGTAACGCCAAGCTGTCGAGGTTACACGAAATCAACTATAATAGTTACAGATAAATGTTACGCGAGCATTTTAATAAATAATTACTTAAAGTAACTTTATTCGAGAATTCTAACTTTTTCAACGGGTTAATGTCCAACTCTGATCGTGGGTGATGTGAAATAAATTAGGTTAGATTAAATTTGCAGTATTTGATTTTAATTCGAGGAAAAGTAACACGCTCGGTAAGGTAGTTTATGTTTGATTAATTTGAAAAAGAGGTGGCTGATACGTGGATCGTGGACAGTGATGGGGAAAATTTAATAATCGAAGTTGTTTGTGTAATGCCAAACATATTACACGAAAGATTACACGAAAAACGGATCAATTATAATTAAACGAATAAATATTACTTAAATATTTTTTAATGTGAAGTGAACTAAGTTAGGTTAGGTTTGCATTTTATTTGATTTTAATTCGAGGAAAAGTAGTAGCTTATATTTGACTTTAATTTGAAAGAAAGGTATCCGACACGTTTACAATGAATCATGAGCAATGATGGGAAAAATTTAATAGTTTCAAGTTACGAATAAACTTACTTCTATAAGTTATTTCCCGTTAATGCCCAATTCTGATCGTAAAATAAATTAGGTTATGTTTACGATATTCGATTTTAATTCGAAGAAAACTAGTAAATACACTTGGTGAGATAGTTTATTTTTTAAAAAACAGATAGTGATATTTTCGAGTATCGAAGAATCGTATTGCAGGAAGAAAATGATAAGAAATATTTTATCGCAATTCGTTTCTAAAGAGATATTGGAGAATCGTGTTGTAGAGAGAGAAAAAGTCGATTCTGATTCGAGAGGAGAGAAATATTCGTGATAATATTTACGAGTCCGAGAGCAAGAATAAACATCTTCTATTCGATTTTAATTCGAAGAAAAATAACACGTATACGCAATTCGATGTTCACATCGGAGAGAAAAATTTTACCAGAAAAACGATATATCTCACTATATCTTCTCCAATTTAATTTATACTACAGAGAGAAACAATCGTTTAAAATCGTTTTAATCATCGTCTCTCTCTTTTTTTCCCCATCCAGCTGAATAATTTTACACGAATAATCGAAACGATACGTGAAAAATACGATGGTGAAACAAATGAACGGAATCCCCCTTTCGCGACGGCGAAAGAAAGGCTGTCGGAAGTACGAGCGCGGGACAGGTTTTCCCAACTGGCGTGCCGCCAAATCAGTATGTAATTTACTGTCTCCATTTTGCTTACTTCCGTACGGCGGTCATACAATGCGTTTCTCGGGGTTGAAACTGGGTCAAGAATAGAATTTGAAGGGAAAATACGACCAACGTTTCCACGTTTGTATATTATTCCATGAATATTCACACTGACGACTCCAACTTTGAATAAAGAAAATTGAACGATGAAACCGAATTAATCCTCCTTTTCCTTCTCTCTCTCTCTCTCTCTCTCTACGCTTCCTTTATTTCTTTCTATAAATTGAATATCGATATGTATCTCGTCACGATTAATAAATTAATATTAATCCACGTGTAAATAGCTACGAAAAGAATATTTTTCCGCTGTTAATTTTCTTAATAAAGGAAAAAAAAAGAAAAAGGAAAAGGAAAAGGACGTCGCATTTATTAATAATCGAACGCTCCCCATCTCGCTTTTTACGCATCCGCTTTTGAAAAGTGTTATACTCGAGAAATACAATTGTTACAATTTTCATTATGAATAATTTTCAAGTATGAATAATTGACCGTAACAGTTTCCTCCGGACGCATAAATAGGTTGTCTGGTCTCCGGATATCGTAAATCTCGTTTTTCACCCTTCCCGTAACGTAACTGTTCGCGTCGTTTACATGGTTATTACTTAGATGTTAGTCGCGTGTTATTAGAATCAATATTTTCCTCCGTCAGACAGATTGCAATGCGGTAATGGAAGGCACATTGTAGATTCTTGTTTTATCGGTTATACCATATATACGTATTATTCGACAAGAGATTTGATCGAAAAAAGTATTGAATTTTTCTTTTAAAGATACCGAATTACAAATCTCCTCCTTCCATTTCAGATTTTCGACTCGATGAGATCCGTCCTCGAATAACCGTCCACTTCGACTTTCCATTCCAAATCTTCGACGAGAATTCGTTTATCGGAAGATTTCGTTTCAAAAATTGCGAGCAATCGGATCGAACCGATATAATAATTTAATTAAACGTCGTCCTCGTTTCTGAAATACGGAGAGATCGGCGGGGAAGCGAGGGGGGATGATGAGATCCCTCGATCGATCTCGAGACGGTCTCGCGACGAGTGGTCGAAGCCACTCAAAGCATCCGTTACCGNAATACATAAGGGAGAGGAAGAAAAACGCGCGGCAGTACGAAAATGTCCGTCACTCCGGGCGAAAATAACTCCGGGTCGGTGGCGACCATCCCATCTATCACCTTGCTCCTCGCACTCGCTTAAAGCTTCATCGCGCGCGCGTGAACTAATCACACGAGCTTAATTTAACCGGTATAATCCACAACCGATTACGGCCCATACGGCGATAAAACCTACATAATTAATATACCCGGGGATTAGATTTATCCGTTTAGATATCCCCGATCATCGATTCGATGAACGGCTTTTTTGTAAATTATTTATATATTAATTATTCGAATTCGAATTATCGAGCGTTTTATTCGAAAGTAATCGTAAAAAATATTCGAAACTATAATTTTTCCTTTATTTGAAAATTAGTAACGATGATAATTGGTTTAACATCTGAATGTGATTTATTAATTTTAAATCTAGACAAGTAAAATGATATTCGTTTAAGTTGTTCGATCAATCTGACTCGATGTTAAATTTTTTGTAAATTATTTATATATTAATTATTCGAATTCGAATTATCGAGCGTTTTATTCGAAAGTAATTGTAAAAAATATTCGAAACTATAATTTTTCCTTTATTTGAAAATTAGTAACGATGATAATTGGTTTAACATCTGAATGTGATTTATTAATTTTAAATCTAGACAAGTAAAATGATATTCGTTTAAATTATTCGATCAATCTGCCAATGATCGATTCGATGTTGAATTTTTTGTAAATTATTTATATTAATTATGATTATCCGTATTTTATTCGAAAGTAATTGTAAAAAATATTCGAAATTTAATAATTNTTAAAATGATATTCGTTTAAATTGTTCGATCAATCTGACTCGATGTTAAATTTTTTGTAAATTATTTATATTAATTATGAATCCGTATTTTAGTCGAAAGTAATTGTAAAAAATATTCGAAACTATAATTTTTCCTTTATTTGAAAATTAGTAACGATGATAATTGGTTTAACATCTGAATGTGATTTATTAATTTTAAATCTAGACAAGTAAAATGATATTCGTTCAAATTATTCGATCAATCTGCCAATGATCGATTCGATGTTGAATTTTTTGTAAATTATTTATATTAATTATGATTATCCGTATTTTATTCGAAAGTAATTGTAAAAAATATTCGAAATTTAATAATTTTCTCTTCATTGAAAATTAATAACGATTTGGTGTTGAACTTTTTGTAAATTAAATTTCTATTAATTATGATTATCCGTATTTTATTCGAAAGTAATTGTAAAAAATATTCGAAACTATAATTTTTCCTTTATTTAAAAATTAGTAACCATGATAATTGGTTTCATCTGAATGTTACTTATTAATTTTAAATCTAGACAAGCAAAGTAAAATAATATTCGTTTAAATCTGACTCGATGTTGAATTTTTTGTAAATTATTTATATTAATTATGATTATCCGTATTTTAATCGAAAGTAATTGTAAAAAATATTCGAAACTATAATTTTTCCTTTATTTGAAAATTAGTAACGATGATAATTGGTTTAACATCTGAATGTGATTTATTAATTTTAAATCTAGACAAGCAAAGTAAAATGATATTAAATTGTTTAAATTGTTTAATCAATCTGTCAATGATCGATTCGATGTTGAATTTTTTGTAAATTATTTATAATTATGATTATCCGTATTTTATTCGAAAGTAATTGTAAAAAATATTCGAAATTTAATAATTTTCTCTTCATTGAAAATTAATAACGATTCAATGCTGAACTTTTTGTAAATTATTTCTATTAATTATGATTCTGGAATCTATCTATTTATCCGAGTAATTATAAAAAATATTCGAAATTATAACCTTTCCTTTATTATTATTATATAAAATTAATATGGTTCGATATCTAGATACTTTAATCAATTAAATCTAGCGCGAATAAAATGAAATAAAAATGATATTCGTTTAAATGGTTCGATCAATCTTCAATCTCGAAGATGAAAATTCCATCGATTTCTCGGTTAAACGATCGAATCAACTATTATTCAAGATTAGAATTGGTAACGTAATCTGTGGAACGTAAGAGAGGAGAATTCGAAGAGGGAAGATAATATTACCCATTAAATTCGGCAATTAATCAAACAAGAGAGTAGACCGTTTCTTCTTCTTGCCTCGAAACCTCGAAACCCCTTCTCGCCTTCTTCCTCCTCTCTCCGGATGATCGGCTTGATTAACTCGATTATCGTCCCCCTTCTTTCTCTTGTTCCAGGTGCGCACCTTGTTCGTGAGCGGCTTGCCGATGGACGCCAAGCCGAGGGAGCTCTATCTGCTCTTCAGAGCATACGAGGTGAGTCTCTTTCTTTCTCTTCTTATTCTTATTGTTTCGTCTCTTAACGGGATAAAAGGAAACGAGATTTTTAATTTTTCCTACAGATAGGTTTTTTTTTTTTAAAATCGAACGAAAGTTGTTTTGTCCGGTGGAAAATGTTTAAGTGGAAATTAATTTTGATAGATTTTGTTTGAGTAAAAAAAACACAACGACGGGGAATTTCTGTTTAATTTTTTAAATTTTTGACTTGACACAGGGACAGAAAGTTTCTTTTGAATTTTTCTAACCAAAATTTTAATAACCAAAACCAAAGTTGTTTTGTGCAGTGTAATGTTTGCGTTTGTTTAAGTGAGAATTAAATTTGATGGGTTTTGTTTCAGATGTAGAGAAAAACAGAAAATTTCTTTTTTCATTTTTCTACCAAAATTTTAATACCAAATTTGTTTTGTGCAGTGTAATGTTTGCGTTCGTTTAAGTGGGAATTAAATTTCATAGGTTTTGTCTGAGATGTTAAAAAAAATACAGGGACAGGAAATTTCTTTTTAATTTTTCTACGAAAATTTTAATACCGAAAATTGTTTTTCACAGTGCAACGTTTGCGTTTGTTTAATTTTTGGGAATTAAAGCTGATAGGTTTTGTCTGAGATATAGAAAATAACACAGAGAATTTTTTTTTAATTTTTCTACTGAAAATTTTAATACTGAACTTTTAATACTGAAAGTTGTCCTATATAGTAAGATTTGAATAAAAATTAAATTCGATGGATAAATTTGTTAAAAATTGAAATTTGAAATTGAATTTTCGATCGAATATCGTACTATCCATTTCTCAAAAATAATCTTTCTGATCCTTAAGCTAATCGATAATTTTAAACGACTTAAAAGTAAAAATAATTTTGGACAGAGAAAAAAAAATTTGGATTATTAAATTTTATAACCTTGTCAATTAAATTTCCTTATTATTTTTCTTTTTTTTTTTTTTTTGAAATTCAATCTGATTTTTTACACGAAAAACAAGAGATCGAAGTGGATCGAAAGTGAATCCGTACGAATCGTCGAAAGAGATCAGATAAGAGTTTGAACGTAACTTTCGAATCGTGAGTTTTCAGAGAAACGGATTATTCGACGTGATCTCATCATCATCCGAGGGAGAGACGAAATTTTCGCATTATATCGATCGATTTTGAATTGTTAAATAAATCAGATAATAATTTAATAAAATAATAAATGGAATATGCAACAGTTCTTTGTTCGATTTTTCTTCTTTTTTCTTATTGATGTTGGATCACTAGATATTATTTTTATTTCTTCCTTTGATAAAAATATAAATTTTTTAAAGTTGATATTAACGAATATTTTTTTTTTTTTTAATTTCTGCGATTTTTCTTAACTCTACAGTCATCGAGTTATACTACTTATCTTACTTTTTTTACTAAGCGGTTGGTTTATACTACTAGTAGGATAAGTGGTATAAATCATTCATAAGGTGAAAAAAGAGTAAGTAGTACAGGTTAACAGCATGGCCAGTCAGGACGGTGAATAAGTAGATTCAGACTAGTGATGTGATCAGACATTTTATACACATACTCTTATTTATTTATTCATTATTATTGTTGTAAATTATTCAAAATTTTATTCAATTTTATTTTAGATTATTTTAACTTATTTTTATTTTCAAATATAAATATTTTTCCTTCAAGCGAGTGTTGGCCATTAACCAGTTATAATAAATAACAATTATCGAGGTGATTCTATTCGTACTACTTGAACTACGAGAATTTTATCCACGAATTGTCGAGCATATTTCAATTCGATTTCCATTATTTTTATCCATTACCGCGATTCGATAATTAATTTTTCTCTTTAAAATTTCAATGGTTAATCGAGAGAGCCTCGAATCAATGAAACTGTTCCATCTGTTTTGTCCCTCCTAGGAGAATCGAACGATATATACTTGGCGAAACTGTATCATCGTCAATATAAATCAGCCTTAATCCATTCGGGAGGGTGCAACACGATATCGTACAACGCACAATTGGACGGGAAATTAAAGACCGCCATGACAAATGGAAACAACATTTTAATCGAATCGTGCCCCTCCCTTCCTGTTACGTTGATAAATATTGGCTAAACATAGGCTGGATTCAAACTATCCAGTGTCCACGCAATTTAGGTTTTTTTATTTATTTATTCGTGTGATTAATTTCGTTTTGAAAATATATGTTGTTGTATAATATTGTTTAAAATTTAATTGAAAGATTAATTATCCGAACGATATAGAAACGATTTGTTAATTTATTAAATTTCATTCGAGGAGATTAATTATCGAGAGAGAGAGAGAGAGAGAAAAAATGGTTGCATTATCCTCATCGATGGGATAAAATTAATTATGCGATACAAATTGATTTTTAATCGAGGGCAATTTGTCTCTCAATAAAATTACATGTATCGTGAAATAATATTAACTCGTTAATCGTGGGCATAAGCGTTCAAGAGTAAATCAACTTGATGAGACTTAAAAATTTAAATTAGAATTTTAATAATTAGATTGACAGGTAATCGAGACAGATAATTTTGATAAAGTTTATCTTAATTCTGTAATAAAATAAAATAAAAATATTAAATTTGAAGCAGGAATCATTTCAAGATTTATGATACTTTTATATCGAAATAACGCGATACCAATCTTCGTGAACACTTCTTTAACTCTATGATAAAATCGAAGCACGAATAAAGAATAATTTAAAAAATTACAATACTTTTTTTTTTAATGAAAATTCATACGAATCGAAAAAAATACGATTCTAACCTTTTCTAAATCTTTCTTAAATCTTAATAATAATAATGAAATGAAAACATTTTAAATTGGGAAGAAATTCAAAATTCAAAGCGCGAGCAAAGAATAATTTCAAAAATTAGCCCTCATACGATATTAATAAAAATTCACAATACCAATCTTCTCCAAATCTTCCATAATAAAATCAAAGAAATTCAAAATTCAAAATTCAAAAATTAGGCCCTCGTATATTGACACAAAATCAGAATAAAATCGCGTACCAATCTTCTCTAAAATCTTAATATAACAAAATATAATAAAATCATAATAAAACCATAATAAAATCAGACGAGAAATTCAATCTTCTTCAAAATCTTCCATAATAAAATCAGAGAAATTCAAAATTCAAAAATTAGCCCTTCGTATAATACTTCATTGACACAAAATTCACATAAATCGAAATAAAATCGCATACCAATCTTCTCCAAAATCTTCCATAATAAAATCAGAGAAATTCAAAATTCAAAAATTAGCCCTTCGTATAGTACTTCATTGACACAAAATTCACATAAGTCGGAATAAAATCGCATATCAATCTTCTCCAAAATCTTCCATAATAAAATCAGAGAAATTCAAAATTCAAAAATTAGGCCCTCATATAGTACTTCATTGACACAAAATCGGAATAAAATCGCGTACCAATCTTCTCCAAAATCTTCCATAATAAAATCTTCCATAATAAAATAAAAAATAGAGAAATTCAAAATTCAAAAATACTTCATTGACGCAAAATTCACATAAATCGGAATAAAATCGCATACCAATCTTCTCCAAATCTTCTGTAATAAAATCAAAACGAAACTTAAATTGCCTTTGAAGAAATCGAAAATTCCAAAAACGAAGGATAATTTACAAAAAAGAATCGAAAGGAGAGCCATCCATCATTCTCACCCACTCTCAATTTTCGCTTCTTCCACGGATATTCGTTTGTTGTTAAACGAAAAAAGAGAGAGAAAGGAAAGGTGTCGATATCCTGAACAAAAAAAAAAGCCTGCGTTTACCTTCTTACACCCCCTCCTCACCTCCTCACCTTTCAAAACTCGACACAACGATCGCAGAACGACGCGCTTCTCTCCATCCTCCATTCTACATCTCTGAGTTGCAGGGAATCCCTCTCTCCGTTTTATCGTTAAAATTGTCACGTCCACCAGGATATTCTCGTCTGCCGGTGACAATACCGTTATCATCCCCCTCTCACCCTCTAGACAGACAGACAGACAGACAGAGAGAATTCACCCCGACACAACTGGGAGGCGTCCATTTCGATCTTCATCGTGCCTTCACCTTTGCTTCCGTCGAATCGATCGAGCACAAATTTTATTTTATTTTCGAGAAATATTTTCATTGCCGTTGTTCGGTGAAGGAAACAAGGGGATCGTGTTTTTTATTCGTTAATTCGTCTTATTCTGAATAATTGGTTTGATTCGAGAAATATCTTCGTTATGGTTGTTCGGTGAACGAAAGAAATAAGAGGATGGAGTTATTTCTTATTTCCCTTATTTTGATATTTTGATAAGTTAAAGATTAAAAGAAATGCAATAATTGGATTAGTATTGGGTCGTTTCGATGATCGATGGACGAATTATTTGAACGTTTTGCAATGAATATTCATTTCAACGAACGAAAGAAACAAGAAGATGAAATCATTCATTATTTCCCTTATTCTGGCTAATTGTTTCGAGAAATATTTTCATTATCGTTATTCGAAAGAAATAAGAAGATGAAATCATTCCTTATTTCCCTTATTTTAAGTTAAAAATTAAAAAAAATACAATAATTCGTGGTTCGTTCGAATTAATATTGAATCGTTTCGATGATTAGTGGAATTATTTGAATTTTTTGTGATATTCATTTTGGTGAAATAAATAAATTATTTATTCGTTATTCCCTTTATGATTTGACTCGAGAAATATTTTAATTACCGTTGTTCGAAAGAAATAAGGAGATGAAATCATTCCTTATTTCCCTTATTTTAAGTTAAAAATTAAAAAAAATACAATAATTCGCGGTTCGTTCGAATTAATATTGAATCGTTTCGATGATTGGTGGACGAATTATTTAATTTTTTTGTGATATTCATTTCGGTGAAATAAATAAATTATTTATTCGTTATTCCCTTTATGATTTGACTCGAGAAATATTTTCATTGCCGTTGTTCGAAAGAAATAAGAAGATGAAATCA